GCTATCTCAAAACAAAAAACCTGTACTTAAAATTGCAACATAATTTTGATAGGAATATTTTGTTAATTTTTTTACAATGCAGATTTGTGTACAGCTGTAGAATTAAACTTAGCAATCATGGGGGGAAAGGTCTGCTAAATGTTTAGAGACTTCAAATCAATGTTTTTCTTATAGTAGACAGTTTTCCCAAATACTCAGTTACCTACCAAAACAAACACTGAAATAATTAAAGTTTCTTACACATCTCAGCAACCATGACCTGAATGAGGGAAACTGAATTTATATATTATTTGAAGCAGTCAACCAACCAAATATTTTTATATGAAAAACCTACCTTTTAATTTTTTTCTTAATTTTAAAGATTTATTTATTTTTATTGGAAGTCAGATTTACAGAGAGAAGGAGAGACAGAGGGAAAATCTTTCATCCTCTGGTTCACTCCCAAAGCGGCCACGACAGATGGAACTGTTCTAAAGCCAGGAGCTTCTTCCTAGTGTCCCACGCAGGTGCAGGGTCCCAAGGCTTTGGGTTGTCCCTGACTGCTTTCCCAGGGCACAAGCAGGGAGCTGGTAGGGAAGTAGAGCAGCCAGTATATGAACCAGCATCCATATGGGATTCCAGTGCGTGCAAGACAAGGACTTTAGCCACTCACTAGGCTACCACACTGGGCCCAAAAAAACCTCTTTTAGAATATTTTAGAATATTTTATTAATTTAAAAGTCAGAGTTAGGTCCCGGCGCTGTAGCCTAATGGCTGAAGTACTTACCTTGCACACGCCAGGATCCCATATGGGTGTCAGTTCTAATCCAGGCAGCCCTGCTTCCTATCTATTTCCCTGCTTGTAGCCTTGGAAGGCAGTCAAGAATGGTCCAAAGCTTTAGGACCCTGCACCTGCATGGGAGACCCGGAAGACGTTCCTGACTCCTGGCTTCGAATTGGCGCAGCTCTGAGCTGCTTGGTGAGTGAATCATCGGGTGGAAAAGATCTTCCTCTCTGTCTCTCCTCTTCTTTGTATATCTGCTTTCCAATGAAAATAAAATTTTTTTAAAAAGATAAATCTTTAAAAAAAGAAAGAAAGAGAAAATCTGTGCATTGGCTCATTCCCTAAGCAGCTGTACTGACTGGTACCAGCCAGTACCATGCCCTGTTGAAGTCAGGAACCAGGAGAATCTTCCAAGAAGAAGGGACTCAAGGACTTGGGTCATCCTTTGCTGCTTTTCCCAAGCCATTAGCAGGGAGCTAGATTGGAAGTGGTACAGCCAGCATTACAGGCAGTGACTTTAACCACTGTACCACAATGCTAGCCCCACAATTTCTATTGTTGAAGTAGTGAAAGGGCCTGAAATGATGACTCAATTGGCTAATCCTCCACCTCCAAGTACCGAATCCCATATGGGTGCAAGTTTGCATCTCAGTTACTCCACTTCCCATCCAGCTTGCTGCTTGTAGTCTGGGAAAGCAGTAGAGGATGGCCCAGGCCTTGGGACCCTGTACTCAGCTCCTGCCATTGTGGCTATTTGGGAAATGAACCAGTGGATGGAGGATCTTTCTATCCTTTGTAAATCTGCCATTCCAATAAACATAAATAAATCTAACAAAAAAAGAAAGAAGCGAGAAAAACCTTAATTTCTAATGTTTGGTTAATCCAGACTAGCTGAGCCACTTTCCTTCACATTCTCATTTAGCCAATGAGCTGTGGATCAGATGCAATTTTGCGAAAAAAGGATCTGGCGGTTTCCCTTGGTTTAGGGCACTAGGCATTGAGTTGTTTATTGTTCTTACAGATGTCTTCAATTTTACACTGACTTGAATCTCCATTCCTATGGGTGATGTGTTGCAACATCCGCTTTGCTCTTCTATGTCGCAGTGGGAATACAGCCATCTTAGGGCTTCAGGAAGCACACATCCAAAAATGGATTCAATTGTGAAAGTTCATTCCATTTAAACAAAGCTGGTTTCCTGCCTTTTCTCCTATGTAAACCACACTGGCTTTTAAGGTGATTCTATATTTGTTTTAAAGACCTCAAGAATAGGAGACTTGGCCAAAATTCCTGAAGCACAGAAAATGATCAGTCTTCATATCCCACAGTCTTAAACCTCTGATAAATAACTCCCTAAAATGCCTCACACACACACACACACACACACACACAAACACCCCACAAGTATCTGAGCTACTGGGAAATTATATCTGAATAAATAAATCTTCCAAAATGTCTTTACAGAATATTTTAAAGATCCACTTGCTTGCTTTCACTTCAGAAATCCTAATACAACGTATAAATAGTTGAATAAAAAGTAGATAAAATAAAGATTCTGTCTTTTTTAAATTATCAACAACATTATCTTCAAGTTTATACCACTCTCTATTGAATATGTCAACATATTTTAAATATTGGCTAGTTTAAAGTTAAGTATAATGCCAGAACTTAAAATAATCAGAATGCAAGATGAGTCACAGATTCCACAGGCATGAAGTCCTAGTTTGTGGTGCTTTGTTTCTACCTGGGCCTGGCGTGGCCCAGCATCACCAGTCACAATGAAACCCGAAGGATAAACAGCTGGAGAGAAGCTGCCCACCATTAAGTCCATCACCTTTTCAAAACCACAAGTAAATCTAAATTGCTGTTAAATTCAGCCTCATACTTTCTCTCAACGCAATCTGATAAGTTCAGCCCTAAACCTCACTACTTCCTGGGCAATAGAAGACAACACCTCTTACACATGGCACATCACTTCCTATGGACAATATCCCTTATATTCAAACAATAGCCTTTACATGGGATGCAAAGGAAAATATAAAAAACAAGAAATAAACAGATGTAAGCTCACATAGATCAGTCCCCATGAGAGTTTCTCCTCCTTTGGATCTCTGAAATAAGTGAAACCAAAACTAACAGCTAAAGTCAATGAAATATTTTCTATAACCTAGACACCTATGCTGCCTTATCTAATCTTTGCACACACTGTAGAGACCATTGTTATCCCTATTTTCCAAGTGAGAAAACTGATGCTTTGAGAAATGAAGTCACTTTCCCGAGGTCACTCAGTCAGCAGATGGTGAGTTAAACTGAAACCTTTGCAATCTAAACCTGGTTTTTAATCTCAATCAGTGCTCAACAGAATCACCTCACAGCACCTGCTCACACGGCTACTTGCAGCATTAATTGTCTTCTTTTCATTACACTGTGAAAGCATCACCTATTCCATGGGAGAGGCACCTGGATCCTTCATGAAAAGATCATCTTGTGAAATAACTCAATGTACAGATCTTAGTAAACGCATTCATATTTTCTTTTAGATTTGTTAAGTTACAATCTTTATATAATAGGCACCATTTCTCTAGTCTGATCGACCAATTTTGACAAATATTGAGATATACCATATGTCTATCACCTCAAGGATTCCCCTGGCTCTTTTGCTGTCAGTTCCCACAATCTCTACTGCCAGCCCCAACAAACCACTCAGCTGTTTTCTTGCCTTGTAGCATAGTTTTGACCATGGTTATTACTTTAGCTATAAAGCATAGTGCAGTATGTACTCTTGTGTCTATTTTAGTCTAGCACGTTTCTGAGATCCACCCATTTCTGCATTTCTCAGTAGTTAGCTCTTTTTATTTCAGAGTAATATTCCATTAACTATAATATATTCTAAAATGTTTTATCCCATGTATCTGCTGATAAACACTTGGGCTTGTGGTAGGAACATTCAGACAAGCCTTGAAGTAAAATTCCCTAGGTCACATGATAATTGTACCTATACAAACATTCCAACTGCTCCGCATCCTTAACAACACTTCATATTATCATTTTTTAAAATTTTCACTATTTTTAGTGGGTAGCAGTATCTTGTAATTTAAGTTAATACTTTCCTGATGATTGAAAATATTTAATATTTGCTCTCATATTCATGCAGCTTCCTATGTATCTTATTTTTTTCATACCTTTCAAATGTATATTGTGAAGGTTAGCAAGTGAAAATATTTTCCTTACAAATTAGAGAAAATTAAAGAAGTGTTGCTCCTCTGCACTGTACCGATCTGGAAGAGGTTACTTTTAATCTCCCAATGATGATAACCTACTGTAAACTGTTTATTGAGATGCTGCCCTGTTTAGACAATGACTCTTTCTTCCTATCCCTGAGACAAGCACAAATTGAACAACTCAAAGTGTTTGAAATGATTCAAACTGAACTAATTCAAAGCAGTTAGCACACTTTAGCTGAAACAGAAAGCGCCACTAGAAAGGAAGAAGCTGGAATTCTATTTTATCAAGATTTATTTATGTAACTCTCCATTCTAATATAAACACCATTTCCATGTATTATGCTGTCTGACATTACATCATTTATTATTTAGACACCATAACTACAAAGACTTATAAATTACACTTGTTAGAAAATAAAATCAGTTACAATCTACCTGCTTCTGTTAGAGTAACAAAAATTCCTTTTGGGTGGGCATTTAGCCTAGCAGCTAAGACACCAGTTAGGGTGCCTGCATCTAACATAAGAGTCCTTGGGAGGCAATGGCAGTAGCTCAGGATATTGGGTCCCCGTAACCCACACGGGGATCCTGGATCAAGTTGCAAGCTCTCAGGTTTGACTTAGCCCAGGCACAAGCCCCAGCCCATGGAGGATTTTGGGGAGTAATACAGACTAGAATACTCTGTCTTTCTGCCACTCAAAAACCATCTTTTCACCTTTACATGCTAGCTTTTCTTGGGTTCATTTCTCATCTCACAAGTTGTTTGGCCTCCTGGGACTAGCACAGGGTAGACTAATGTGGGACTTACCTCTTGTTTTCCTTTTGGCTTTCTAAACGGACAAGCCCACAGTGAGTTCCCGTGCCTCACAGCTCCGTGGGCCACTCTGACTGCTGTTCTCTGACTCAACCTCCTCAACCTCGGAGCCCATTCACAAGATAAAACTGAATGCCAATAGCTAAAACAAAAATCTTATTATTTTTTACCTGCCATCCTTGGTGAGTAAAATTTTGCTTTCTTGATGGTAGTAATAAATATCATATCCCAAAGGAGTAAAGATTAAAATTCACAAACCCTGTTGGAAGATAAGATGACGAATAACAGTTATTGACTTGGGCTCCCGTTTCCACACTTTAAACACAACTATGAATGTCTCATGACATACCATGGTCAAGCTTCGCTCAGAACCTTGCATTTTTAAAAGTTGCTTGTCTTAGAAGATATGTGAGCTTTGGATTAAGATATGATCTTCAGGGCCCGGCGCCATGGCCTAGTGGCTAAAGTCCTTGCCTTGAACGCCCCAGGATCCCATATGGGCGTCAGTTGTAATTTCGGCAGCTCCACTTCCCATCCAGCTCCCTGCTTGTGGCCTGGGAAAGCAGTCGAGGACGGCCCAAAGCTTTGGGACTCTGCAAACGTGTGGTATACCTGGAAGAAGTTCCTGGATCCTGGCTTCGGATCAGCATAACATTGGCTGTTGCGCTCACTTGGGGAGTGAATCATCGAATGAAAGATCTTTCTCTCTGTCTCTTCTCCTCTCTGTATATCTGACTTTCCAATAAATAAATAAATATTTTTTTAAAAAAGATATGATCTTTAGATTCTTCCATATGAATGTTTAATAAACCCAAAGAAGGAATAAAGAGAGAACTCCTGATGTAATTTGAAATATCTGCAGGCTAGGCCCATTATGGCACTGAAAACTCCTGCGATACAGAATTGCATGTCACCTGCAATTTTTTGTTAAAGATTTAATTATTTATTATGAAAAGAAGCATCCCAGACCCTATGGGATTGTATTATAAAAGTCAAAATAAAAAACATTTAAATAAAAAAAGCATTACAGAGAGAGAAGGAGAGACAGAGAGATCTTTCATCTGTGGGTTCATTTCCCAAATGGCAACTACAGCCAGGGGCCAATCTAAAGCCAGGAGCTTCTTCCAGGCCTCCCACACAGCATAAGAGCCCAAGCACTCTGATTGTTCTCTGCTACTTTCCCAAGCATATCAGCAGGGAGCTGGATCAGAAGTGGAGCAGCTAGGACCTCAACTGGTGCCCAAATGGGATACGCATGCCATGGGTGATGGTTTTACCCACTATGCTACAGTGCCAGTTCCATCTGCAATTTTTTTCTCTTTTTTTTTTTTTAAAAAAGATTTATTATTTATTTTTATCAGAAAGGCAGATTTACAGAGAGCAGGAGAGATAACACGAAAGATCTTGCATCCTCTGGGTCACTTCCCAAGTAGCCGCAACAGCTGTAGTTTAGTTGATCCAAAGCCAGCAGCCAGGAGCCTCTTCTGGTCTCCCATGCAAGTACAGTGTCCCAAAGCTTTGCATCATTGCCCACTGCTTTCCCAGGCCACAAGCAGGGAGCTAGATGGGAAGTGAAGCAGCTGGAACATGAACTGGTGCCCATATGGAATTCTGGCACTTGGAGGTGGAGGATCAGGCAATTGAGCCATCGCACCCGGCGCCAAAGTCTTTATTTTACCTCAGACTCCCTATCTCTGAACTTTTGAATATGTTATTCCTTCTCTACTTACAACATTGGGATTATAATAAATGCTTTTCCCTCCTGACAGTAAAAGAAGTATCTGTAACAAAGCTTTGAATTGCAACATAAATTCAAGCTACTATTATTTTTAGTACAGAAAGCCTAAAAATAAATAGCATATTGTCCTAACTTTTTCTTAATTTTAAATGGCTCAAATTAAATTTCTGTGGTACTTTTATTTGACTCTTTAGCAAGAGGTAGACAAAAAATAAAAAAATCATGTGAAAAGAGAGAAATAAGAAGAGGAAATGAATGAGATGAGTTTGGTTAATTGTATTATGCCAAAAATCATTGCAAGAAGTGAGAAGGCAATTCTAAATCAGATAGCTACAAGGACATGAAATCCCCTTCTGAAGCCATTTCAAATCAATGCCCTGTTAGAGAATGAAGCTAAACAAAGAACATATGGCATTACAAAAATTAAATATCAGAAGGCTCAAATAGCTAAATGGTTTCCATGATTACAAATAAAGAAGGGATATTAGTTGGTAAGTGGATCCAAGTGTCAAGAATGAGCATGTAAACCTCCCTAAGGGTTAGCATGTCCCGATTCTTTTCATAGTAAAAAACTAAGCATCAGACATTTCTGCTTCTTGATCTAATTCTGAAACCTTTGGGGGCCAGTGACTAACCACTGAATCTCAACAGTCAGTTTCGTCTTCTCTCAGTAAGTACAACTGCCTCCGAGGCAAACAACAACAGCCTTACATCCTTACATCTAATTGGCAGAATATCCCCTTACTACATTTTAAGATTGTGAGTAGTAGTTACTCTTTATTTTCATGATGAAAACTATAAAATATTTAGTCTTTTAGTAAGAAAAAGGTAAAGGGCAGGAAGATTAAAAAAAAAAAAAAAAAGGTAGTTGAATGTATGTGAAAATAGAAGCTCCAGAGTAGGATTTGCTTACAGTTAAGATGCTAGTGAAGACATCCATGTCTAAAATTTAGGGCCCGGAGCAGTGACTGCTGGGGTCCAATATGGGTGCTGGTTCGTGTTCCCGCTGCTCCACTTCCCATCAAGCTCCCTGCTTATGGCCTGGGAAGGCAGTATACGACAGCCCAAAGCCTTAGGACCCTGCACCAAGGTGTAAGACTTGGAGGAGGCTCCTGGCTCCTGACTTCAAATTGGCTCAGTTCTAGCTGCTGCAGCTATTTGGTGAGTGAACCAGCAGATGGAAGACTTTTCTTTCTGTCTTTCCTTCTTTCTGTAAATCTGCGTTTCCAATAAGAATAAATACTACAGGGCCCGGCGCGGTGGCGCAAGTGGTTAAGTCCTCGCCTTGCACGCCCGGGATCCCATATGGGCGCCGGTTCTAATCCCGGCAGCCCCGCTTCCCTTCCAGCTCCCTGCCTGTGGCCTGGGAAAGCAGTTGAGGACGGCCCAAAGCTTTGGGACCCTGCACCCGCGTGGGAGACCCGGAAGAGGCTCCTGGCTTCGGATCGGCATAGTATCGGCCCATTGCGGCTCACTTGGGGAGTGAATCATCGGATGGAAGATCTTCCTCTCTCTCTCTCCTCTCTGTATATCCGCCTTTCCAATAAAAAATAATAAAAATAAATCTTTAAAAAAAAAAAAAAAAGAATAAATACTACAAATAACAAAATAATTCAAAGTGCCCAGGTTTGACTGCTTCCTGACTGCTGCTTCCTGCTTATGCAGACTGTGAGGACAGCAGGAGTGAATGGGCTCCACTCACCCATGCTGGAGATCTGCTTTGAACTCCCAGCTTTAGTCTCTGCTCAGTATTGCCACAGTGACATTTGGGGAATGAATCTGCAGGTGTGAATGCACTAGCTCACATACTCTGTTCCTCTCCTTCTCAAAATGAATATAAAGAGAAATTTAAAATGAATAGTTACTTCATCTTCAACATCCTCAAGAGATTCTCTTTTGAAACTTGAGCAAGATGTACTTAGCAATAAACTATTCTCTTCCTCCCACAATCCCAACCCTCATGCAAATTGATGGGTGCTGCAGCCTAGCCCAGCCCAACCAGTCACAGACCCAGTCTTCATTGAATTCTAGTCAGAGTGACCCCCAATAATCCCACTAGACCCACCCTCAGCCCCGCTTTGCGGTGTGTCAGCATGTGCTGTGCCTAGCATGGTCCATCCCACCTCCCATCTGGCTCTATGGGTGCTACAGCTTAGCTCAGCCTGACCCACCCCACAATGCAGCACACACACCTACAGGTGCTGTTGTCTTGCCCAGCCTTCCTTGCCCACTACCAGCCCTGGCTCTTGTGCTCATCAGCAGGAGCTGCAATGAGTGCCCACAGTTGTTTCCCTACCAAGCTGGCTCCCAGCTCCAGATCTTGCACTTGCTAGGGGATACTGCAGTCTAGCCTGTCACACTTACACACGCTCCTGGCACTTGCAGCTGGGGTGCTGTGGCTGGAGCTGGCTCACTGCAAGTCTTGGCATTTACCAGCAGGAGCTCAGCCCAGCCTGGCCCATCACTAGACTGGCCCACCTTCAGTCCCAGCTCAAATGCACACCAGTGGAAGCAGTAGCCCAGAAAGGGATTCTCTAAAGTTCCCCTACCAGGCCGACTCCCAGGCCCAGGTCTGGCATGTGCCAGCAGGTGCTGTGGCCAGTATGAGATGGTTTGCACCCAGTCTCAGCATTTTCCAGCAGTTCTACTGCCTTACTCAGCTTCCTGGGCCTCAGTCCCAGCTCTTGCCAGCAGATGCAGCAGCCTAGCCCAGCCTGATCCATCCCTGTACCCCACGTGAATTGGCTGATGTTACGGTCCAACTCAACATGGTCTGAAACCAATCCTGGCTCTTGGTTGTCCCAGTGTGTGCTGTGGACTGGTCCGGCCCAGCCTGCCCCCGACCCGGTTCACATATATGTCAACAGTTCTCCAGCTTTGCTTAGCCTGGCCTGTCCTGGCCTGCCCCACTCCTAACCTCATCTATTGTACTCCCCAGTACTCTTAGCTATATTACTCCTAGCTGTATTGGTATGGCATCTGCCAGCAGCCTACCAGCAGTGTTCCCCAAGTTCCCCTACCAGGCCCAGGATCTTACATGTGCCAGTGAATGTTGTGACCCTGCTTGGCTTGGTCTGCCCTCAGTTCTGGCCTTGGGGTTTGTTGGTAGGTACTACAGCCTGGTCCAGCCCAAAATTCTTTCAGCCCCAGCTTCTATGGGTATCATGTGGGTTCCATGTCCAACTTGGTTAGGCCTATCCCTGCTCCAACTCTCCACATAAACCAGTGGGTGCTACAGTTTCACGAAGGCAAGTCCACAAGTCCCTTAAAGAATCTGTCCTCTGGAAGATGGATTCCCAATGAAACTGTTGGACATGTACAGACAATGGGATGCTGGACTGTCTGACATTGTCTGTACCAACAAAGTCGGGGTACACTTAAATAAGAGACTGACAGAATTATGATTCCTTTGAAGCACTACACCATTGTAGTAAAATGGGGAAAATCTGTTGGGGGGTAGGAGTTTCGGAGGGGAATCCCAGCCTTTACAAAATTGTACCACATAATTCAAAATTCAAAAT